CCCTTTCCGTCCCGCCTTTCGCCACCAAGGTGAGAGGAGAGAGAAGCCCCTAAGCCACTCCTCCCCAGAAGTGGGGCACCCCTCGCCCTAAATAGTTAAGGTGACAGTGGGCCCCACGCGGCTTGGGGTGGCGGGGGAGAGGGAGGAACACCTTCGGAGATGGGTGCTGTCTGGGGTGGGGGTCGGGGGGCGAGGGGCTGCTACTTGTCCCACTGATCCGAGTCCCTGCGAAAGGGGCCCTGGGAGATTGCTCGCTTAAACTCTCACTTTACATAAGAGGAAACTGAGGCAAGGACTTTTTTGTCAGTTATGGAGCTCCAGATGCATGGGCTCCGCTGCCTCCAGAGTTCCCAAGACGGAAACCACTGGGAGAAGGAAGAAGGATGCTGCCCCCTTTAATGACTGGGGGGGGGGGGGGGGGGCATAGGAACGGTCTATAAACTGAAGTTCTCAGGAGGGGTCCAGAACCTGCCCCACCTCATGGGATCCTGGACAGAAATGGGATGGCTCCCATGGCCGGGCAAGAGGTGATGAAACAGGGTCCCTCTCGCACACCCACAAGAAGCCCCCTCACTCCTCACATCACCTGTTGGCAGCTGGTCTGTTGCTCCTCCGCTTTTCATCCAGAGTTGTCTGCACTGGCAGTCTGCACTCCCTTACCTCCTACCGACCTCTCCACCACTGCCTGGCTGGGGAGGGCCAGGAGGCCGGAAGTGGGTCAGGATGGAGCAGGGGATGCTATTTGGAGAGAAGGGAGTGAGCCTTTTGCTCACTCAGGAGCCAGCGTGGAACTTAGCGCCCAGCTGCTACTTGGTCCTCTATTTGTGAGGTGAACATAAAAGGTGCTACATAGCAGACCTGACAGGCTAACGTGGGGGGGGGGGGGGCACCCTCAAGGCAAGCCTAACTAACTCAGTGATGGAAAGTAACCACATAGGATGATGTGATCATAAATTCCTGATTGCATTCTAGTGGGTAGTAACATTTCAGGCCCATAGCTTCTTTAGCAAGGTCAGTTATTACCTTAAGCAAGCCCTGTCCATTATTTTGCATTTAGGATAACATACCTTTGAACTGTCAGAGTAATTTTCTTTTCCAGATCCCTCAGAGGCACAGCCACCAGCACCAGAGCACAAAACCACAGGAGACCCCTCATTGGTATCTTGTTGCCTACACACCATCTCTAATTACTATAATTGTTTAATGTAAACTCCCCTGTACCCAGCAATGTAAAAGAAGTATGTATCTCTCCATTTACTTTTTCCAGTCCTAGAGATTTCCCCACTTTGCTTTCTTCCACTTCCTTAAGCTACTACCAATGGACTTCATGTAACTTTCCTTACATTCTCTCCTTTAATTCTAAATGCATAAAAAGAACTGCAAGACAGCCATTCTTCAAAGCATTTTCTTAATGCTTTGAGATTTTGCTTCTGGGTCAGGCCTCAGATTTGACTCATATAAACTCTTATAAAGTGTTTCTGTAGGTTTGGACTTTATTTTGTCAACAGTGGCCATAAGGATCCATTAATACAAGTTATGTCTGAGAAACGTTTTCACCAAAGATTGTGGAACAACGGAGGGAAATTACAGCTCCGAAAGGAAAAAACTAGTAAATAAATTTCAGCAGTCATTGTTTCTAGAAATACATGGCCATCTCTCATCAGAAGGAATTTCCCACTGGCTCCTTTCCTTTTTTCCATCTGGACATCCAACTGACCCAGCATTATTTGTTGAAAAGATCACTCCCCCTGCCACTTCTCTGCAGTGTTAACTTTGTCATAAATCAAGTAGTCCGTGTGTGCATGGGACTGTTTCTGAATTCTCTAGTCTGTTCCATTAGCCTGTTTTTCTCTCCTTGTGCCATTCCCACACTGACTGGATTACTGTAGCTTTTGAGTGTCTTAATTCCTATAGAAAAGTCTACCCACTTTTTTCTTCAAGACTGCCTTGGCTGTCCCTAACCTTTGCACTTCCATAGAAGTTTTAAAATCAACTTGTCTGGCCCAGCAGCATGACTCAGTGGTTGAATGTCAATCTATGAGCCAGGAGGTCCCAGTTCAATTCCCAATCAGGGCACATGCCTGAGTTGTGGGCTCAATCCCCAGTGTGGGGCATCAAGGAGGCAGATGATCAATGATTCTCTCTCATCATTGATGTTTCTATTTCTCTCTCCCTCTTCCTTCCTCTCTGAAATCAATAAAAATATATATATTTTTAAATCAGCTTGTCTATTTACACACACACACACAATCCTGCTGGAATTTTGATTGCTATCACATTGAATTTTTAGATCAATTTGGGTAAAATTGACATTTTCAATATTGTCTGTCTATCCATAAACATAGTATGTCCCTTCCTTTGTTTAGGGGTTTTCTTTAAAGTTCTCTCAGCAATGTTTTGTAGTTTTCTATGTAGAGACCTTGTACATTTTTTATTAGATTTAGTCCTGAGTGTTTATGTTTTTGGTACTATTATCAATGGTTCCTCTATATGGTGTTTTATTTTGTTTGTTGCCTGTATTGCATGGTGGCTTTAAAACAAGTCAACAAATTCTTTGACACTCTTCCTAAGGGGTGGAGTCTAATAGCCTTCCTCTTTAAAATGGTTGGTCTTAGTGTTTTGTTTTGTTTTTTAATAAATAGAATGTGGCAGAAGTGATGCTGCATGACTCCCTCTCTTGGGACATTTGTCTTTGAAACCCTAGGCCACATGCAGAGACCCTGAGACAAAATGAAGAGGAAGATGACTAGCCAGTCCTCAGTAGGGCCAGCCCCTGCTATTCCAGCTCCATCCACTGTCTGAATGCAACCATATGAAAAACCCTGAAACATCCAGCTGAGCCCTTCATGAATCCAAAATGCACAGAAACCATGAGAGATAATAAGTGATTAAATGATTATTGCTATTTTAATCCTTGAAGTTTTGGGGTGATTTGTTACTCAGCAATATAGCTCTGGAACGTATATAGAAGTAGACTTGTGTATAATGCCCTTGTATCTAGCAACATTGCCAAACTCAATTATTCTAACAATCTGTAGATTCTTTGGCTTTTAAAATATATATACCATATTCTATCTCATCTGCAAAAATGAGTTTTAACTTTTCCTTTTTAGTCCTTATACAGTCAATTTATTTTTCTTGGCTTATTACACTGGCTAGTATTGCTAGTATAATTTTGGAAAGAAGTAATGATAGCAGGCATCCTTGTCTCATTCCTGATCTCAAAAGTAAAGCTATCAATATTTCACCATAATTATACTACTTAGTGTAACATTGGGAGGTTTTATGTGGGTGTTGTTCTGTGGTTGTTTTTTGTTTTTGTTTTTTTCATTTTGTTTTGTTTTGTGTAGATGCCTGCTCTGTTGTGCATTGGGGAGTTCAATCTTCACAGCCATCCTCTGGGTAAGGAAATAGGACTGCTGTGGCCATTTTATAGATCAGAAGAATGAGGCCCAGGGAGGAATGCTCACCATCACAGTGTTAATAGCAGCACTAATTAGCAGTACCTAAGCCTGAAGATCCCACCTGGAGCACAGCACCAAGGAGGTCTCTGGGAAGTCTGGCAGTGAAGCCCAGCAGGGAAGTTATGCACACCCCAAATCTTGGACTTGCCCTCTTATGTTGGCAGTTGATCAGATAGGAAATTGATGATTCCGTTCTCCCAAAGAAACACCCAGCCTCATTTGCTGTCCTCAGGATGGAGGTAGGGCTTGAGCCCTTCTTCTCTCTACCTCTTAACCCTATGTGGGATCTGTGAGAGCAGAGCCCCAGGTCTCAGACAGTGACCAGCCGGCTCAGGACAGCTTGGTCATGCCTTGCCTGCAACAACCCAGTTTAGGAACCCAGAATATCTGCTTGTTTATCTTCTAATTCTCAGTTTTGGGTATCATAAATAGCTGAGATATCAAAATATAGATATATCTTACTATGCTTTATTATTATTTAGGTGCAGCAAGGCAAAAAGATAAGGAGACAGTTGCCATTGAAAAGATAGTTTGGCCGGGCCAGTATATCTCAGTGGTTCAGCGTCGACTTATGAACCAGAAGGTTGCAATTCAATTCTGGTTGGAGCACATGCCTGGGCTGTGGGCTCAATTCCCAGTATGGGGTGTGCAGGAGGCAATCAATCAATGATTCTCTCTCATCATTGATGTTTCTGTGTCTCTCTCTCCCTCTGCCTTCCTCTCTGAAATCAATAAAAATATATTTTTAAAAAGATAATTTGTTACAGTTCCAAAGAGGAGGGGGCATGCCACACCCTGGGGGGCCACAGGGGAAAGCACCAGGGTCAGTCAGGAGGGAGAAGGCAGAATTGTGGTTTATGCAGGAAATAATGGATGAGGCCCGGTAAGCAGACTTAGGGTTGGCTAATTTGAATAATTTTAACAGGCTCTAGGGCCAAGGGGCTGTCCCTAGTTGTCTGATACCTGTCCCTCAGTGATGAGGGCAGGTGGCCTGGGGTATGAGAACTGGATGAAGGAGGTGGCTGGTGGTGTGGGTTCTGGATTGTTTTGTTCACATTGGAAAAGCAC